ACATATTTGTCACTTCATTAGTTATTGATTTTACTGATTTCTACCATAGCGACAAGTGGTAGGTATGTATAGAAATGCACATATAGGTTCAAGGATGATATTGATTTTTATTTCAAGGTTACCGCAAACATTTCAGTCTGTTGTCCATTTTTACGACCAGACTGAAAATGATCCAAACAATGCCGTTCTCTCTTCAGAACACTTCACTAGATAATAAAATAATAAATAAAATGAATGGCATTGTAGAGCAGGCCAAAATGACCTCGTAGGCCTGTTCAATGCCGCCTCCCCATTTTGTTAACTGAGCATTTTGAGCAGCCGGAGCCACAAAAGTGATGACTTATCAATGGAACGTCCTTCCATAAAAGATAGGTCTATAAGTAACATTATCTCTTAATTTGTTAGGTCTACCATCGAAATCTCTCCATGACCAACACAACAATATAGATCAGAAAATCAGAAGCTGATTTTAAATTTTGAAATTAGGCCTACAAAATTGAGGGGATAGAAATTGTATTCAACTTTAAGTTTGGGAACGCCATTTCTGGCCATTTAGATGTGCCAGCCATAACATTTCAGACCTCATCCCAAAAGATGGTAAGGGTGACGCAGTCTGAACCATCTCCAAATTCTCTCTCTGGATTCCCCCTCTTTGTCGAATTCTTGGGTCCGCCACTACAAATTGCTCACCAAGTATTCCTGTCTATTTATATGTACCATTTATATGTTCTATTTATATGTAATATTATTGTGTACCTTGTTATTAGAAGAACCCATGAATCGCTGAATTATTCATTTGACTGCTTATTTACATTGTTAAGTTATCAAATTTTAGAGAGGTAGAGGCCTACAGGTCAAAAGAAATATTCAGTTTCATCAATATAGACGTTTTACTACAAAAATATTTAAATTCGAAAATCCTTACCTTATCTCCAAATTATACATCGGAATTCAGTACGGTATTATTTCTGAATCAGTAAATATATGTAGGAACGGTTTGGCGTAGCGGTTGCGGTTCTGCTTCTGAACCTGAACCTTGTAGTCGGAGGTTCAATCTCTCGCTATGTATTTCGCTTGTGTCCTTATGCAAAGCACTTTACATATACTGTTGTCTCTCTCCACCGTGTAGTACAAGTGTAAATATCTGTAGGTTCAAACACAAAAATGAGTATGTGTTCCATGCGGGGTTAATAATGCTAAGCACAAAGAAGTCGACAATTATTACTATTGTAATAATTGTTTTCTCATTTTAATTCAATTGGAAGCTATTAGCTTACCTAATTAAATATACAAAGTAAGTAATCAAATATTGACTTTTATTATTCATGTATATTAACTCTACATAGAAAACCTTCAAAATTGCGGATTAATATTGCTGTATGACAATCCGCAAAAAGGTCATTATACTTTGCTATTTGTTTTACTGAAAATGTAAATGTATGCAGAGGTAATGTAAATGTGCCTGTATGCTTCAATGGAAATTGAGCAATATGATGATTATGAATATTTCGGCCCTGAACTTAGAATATTCGTAGCAAGAAGAGGCATGACATCAATAGAAGGCTTGTAAGACTGTGCTAATGTTTCGATTCGCAATGATGACTAGGTTCAGGTCTAAGTGATATTAGGCGCTCATTACTGATTAATTATTCCCTTATGAAACATCACATTTGACCAGTTTCATTACAATAATCTGTTTAGTCGGTGTATTGTCAAAAACATCGTAAATTGTGCATACTGAAATGGTGTTTTAGGTCAAAGCAACTTCCTGGTCAAACTTTCACCAGCCAATATTCAATTCAATTCAATTCAATTAAAAAATACTTTATTATCCAAAAGGAAATTCACTTGGTTATGGTACATATAAAATAATTAAAAATTAAAAATTATAAAACATTCAAACATTTAAGTACAGTACTGACATATGAAAGACAGTTGTTAAGAACAAGATCAAAAACATGCAAAATGAACAAAGAAAAAGGACAACACAAGGCTTTACATTAGGTTTTCTTTTCTTTTTTTAAATTTCTTATTTCTTTTTTTTCCTTTTTTTGTGAGAGGAGATATAATGAGGAATATTTGTGTGGTCAGATACGTGAAGTGAAACTGAGGGCTCACTATTATTAGCATGATGAAAGAAATAGCGTAGATCGGTGTAGGAATAGTATTGTTCAATAATGTGATACGTGACAAGTAATAACTCAAGATTTCAATTTAACATTATTTTGCTACAGCATATTATCATTGTTATTTTCAAAGACGTTATTTTAAATCAGCCAGAGGGTTACCGTATTTTATATCTTTGTCAGTATCCAGGAATTTGAAATAGAGAGGGCCCAAGCAGGGCTTTGGATGAGGGTCAAGACCACATCGGCACCACCATATGGCTGAGGTACAACATTTAATGGCTATGACACCTCTAAATATTTTCAATAGACACTCTCATGCTTAAATTTGAATTTAATTTTTTTCTCCATTTGTTAAAATGTTCTTTCGAACACTTGTGGTGGCCCCTCTCTTATAAGTACAGTACCGTACTGTATAACCTTTTCTGCGTTGTAACAACACTTAGATTATGAGTACTTCAACCTGCATGTAATTAAAAAATTGAAATGATTTTGTTTTTTTTTTTGTTATTTGACAATTTCTTGGCTATTTTTTTTTTTGGTTTTTTTTTTTTTTTTTTTTTTGATGGATGGATTACGGCTACCACTGTAATAAAAGTTATTCTGAATATAATAATACTTCTAAAACTATTCATATTAATAGGGCTAATAATAGGCCTATTGATGATTCCATCATCATCGTCATGATTAGATTATGATTAGGATAAGGATTGAGATGATCATCATGATGAGCATGATGTTGATGACAATGACGTAAGGGCTAGGCAACTGGTCAAGTTCAAACGAATATATTTAGGCCCACTCTCCTGATTAATTTTTATCCTTAACCTTTCAGTAAGATTCATCATGATGATGTGCACGGTACGTGAAAACAACACCAATGTATTTATTCTTCTTATCGAGTCACTACGTAGCTAGTGTGTATAATCTTGCTTACGTAGTGTGGTAGAAGTATTCGCCGGTAGGATTGATACCTAACATGGGACGCGACGTGTGTGCCCGGAGACTAGAGATGGACCAGTACACAGGGGTAGTCCCCTACACTTCTCGAATGATGTACTGGGTTCTTTAAAGTGCACACGAGTCAATTGTGTACACTGGACCTACGGGTTAGAGGGCACTCCGGCCTGCTTCAGGTTTTGAACCTTTACCTTTACATTATCCGAGAAGACTTGTTCCACCACCGGAACGATAGCCGTTCGAACCAGCGCCGATATTATGGCTGTATGTCACGGTTCCCCTGTCTTAATTGCTCTGCCAATCGACTCGCCTATGTATTTATATTGATTAAAACTTACGTATCATGTTTGATTAATTAATTTATTACTTACAATTGAATTTTTAACCTGGAATGAACTAAAACAAGAAACAATGGTATAATACAAATATATAATTATAATAATGCTACGCAGCAAACTTGATTTGATTTGAATACTAACAGCTACATCAGCATGTGCGTAAACATACATAAATGCATGAAAAAAGCATAATTATATCTAAAAGTAAATGTAATTATCAAATCGTCAGATGGGTGTTATCTCGCCGAACTCCCGCCGGCGAAGAGGATGTTTTTCCGTGATGAAAATCACGAGTTTTCTTGTTGGTAAATTGTGTCTTGGGCCTAGCTCTAAAGGTTTTTTGTTACTATCCCTTGCTGACGTTTGTTTAATGTCAAGTAGCAATCAGGATATTATTCGAGCACGAGATTAACGCTTCAACAACCAGTATTTACATTATGTGATGAAATAAATGCTATATAGGTGTATTTGTAAGGATATGTCTAAGTTTAAAATAAAATGTTAAAATATAAAACAAATATGCCTATTTGTATTAATGCATTCTAGTCACACTTTTGTGTAAAAAAACACATTTATTTTTTATACCAAGGCATACAATCTCACTTATTTAACTATATTTATTTACTGTATATACATTGGTCATATCTTTTTTTTTCATATTTATATTGGTTACATTTTGTTTTTCTTGTCATAGTTCCGATGTTTGTATATATTGTTGTATCTGTATGTATTGAAATGGTTAAACCCAAACAGAATTTCAGTATTTTGGACAATAAAATAATCTTGTTTTATTCTCTTAAATCTTAAAAGAATATTCCGTTATATAGTTTTTAAAATCAAAACTAGCAAAAACATTGTATTTTATTATTTAGCGTTTTTCTTTAATCTTTTCCTAACATTTTATTTTGGTAAAAACTGTTTTTGAGTGCAATGTATTTTTTAGAAAAATAAAATTAAACAACGGTAAACCTGTTTTTAAATTCAAATGATTGTTTTAGTATTTCAAATGATATTGATTGTTAAATATTTTTAAAAACCGAATGGTCAATTGATTAATCTCAGATAAGAAAGTATAATACATACTCCAAGTATTGAAATACTTGGCGTGTATTTCAATACTTAGAGTATGTATTATACTTTCCTAAATATTTTTAATGTTTCCAGATTGAAGTTTTATATAATGTATTGTAATTGATTTGATGAGGGCCTCTTCAATTCAGCTTCAAGTTGCTGAATTATAAATACAGTAGGTCTAATTACACAGTTACGGTATTTGGTATGATTTTTGATATGGAGATCTAAATGTCCCAACTTAGGTCTACTTCGTGTTTTATAGCATCAACAAAAATTGTCATCTATTCATTTCATTATAATGTTTAATATAATTTTGTAAAGATGATGTTGTAACCTTTGACTTACTACAATATTGAGACAAGCAAACTGAAATAATTGACAATGTCATTTATTATATGTATAGGCCTCCACTTATTATATGTAGGCCTATAGGCCCTATATCGTTATTAATTTACTGTTATCTATAATAATCATTACAATAACATTGTTATTATTTTACAGTATTCTGAAGATAATGAAGTCATACTTATATTAATTGCCTAGCTTACCGAACATTTTAGGAAAATGGGACATCAAATGAAAAGGCATAACATTATAATGGAAAGTTAAAATAATAAAAAAGCGACTCCGACCATATGTTAGACAAATATTATAATATAACATTCTAAAATTATATAAATTGTAAGGCAAATTTTTTAATACTCTGATTAATCGGCCATGTTTGTTTTGGTCAAAAGAAAAGGCATAATATTATAATGCAAAGTAAAAATAATTTAAAAAAAAAGCGACTCCGACCATATGTTAGACAAATATTATAATATAACATTCTGAAATTATATAAATTGTAAGGCAAATTTGTTAATACTCTGATTAATCGGCCATGTTTGTTTTGGTCATATAAAAAACATTATTCCGAATTACCACACTCTGGTTTTTGTAAACATTCGTTCTCAACGAAATCTATTTCACAAATCCGCAAAACATTATACTCAAATATGTAATCGTTCTTAACCAAACGTTCCAGTCTAAAACCGCCAAAATAGTGCAAAAAATGCGGTTGAATTTAGATAAAGAAAGTTTAAATGCACCGTAACAGTTAATTGTACCTCTGATAAATATTAACAGTTTTTTAATTTACAATTGTCTTGAAGGATTTTTTGCAGGAGTGGTCCTTGAATACAAATTTAAGCATTTATATGCATCAACTCTCCTTTTCTAAATAATACTAGATATTTTACCTATAGTATAGGCCTACGCCTATATTGATGGAACTATACTAGAGTATAGAAACTAAAAAAAAATATAACCGGTAGGTTTTCAAAACATTGGACCTAAAGCCATCTAAGACCATAGGCATGCGTGCCAAGGTACCCTGTGGAGATAGGCCCAACTTCAATCTTTCTTTCGTCAGATGAGTCTATAGACACCTTGAATTCATAAAGTGACCCTAATTTTCATTTTCATCTGTGTCGTCTGTTACTGTTTCACCTCCATTCGGTTATCTTCTTTTTCTGCTAAGATAGTATTTTTGAACATATTTGCTGTCGACAGGGTGAACAAGTGGTGAAGAAAACAATCGTTCTGTAGGCCTAATTGTATTATAGTACATCTGTCCCAAAATTCTACCGTTTTGGCCCTGGAGGCAA